CAAACAAATGGCCATAACATGATTTTTGAAGGTTGTTGTATCATATTACTATACAACCGTTGCATGAAATCATTGCTCTAATAATAAATACATTTTGAATAAAAACAATTGATCAAAAGTCCCTTACATTATTTTAGGGGTATTTTGGTTAATTTTTATTTGTTTTTTAATTAATTTTATTTTATACATCATATAAAACTATGTCTATATTCCAAATTTCAAATAAAAATTATTTTTAAATAAAAATAAAATACGAAACTCATGGGATGATATTAGTTCAGTCTAAACCATAGTTAGCAAGTTGCCGATTTAATCGTGAATTTTAAAAAAAATCTATACTGTTTTGAAAAACGATTTATTCTGATAGATCGGTAAAAATACGCAATCTTTTCAGAAAGAAGTTTAAAACTTCACTTTTTCAAAATTTGAAAAAATTGTTTCAAAAAAAACTTTTCTATTAATATACTCTGATTTTTTTTTTTTTTGGAAAGTTCAATATCTTTTTCCTGTTTTATGAAATTTCTATTTCTATTTTTATTTCTATTCTCCCAAAACTTTCCCGGAGATATGGTATGTATTTTTTCGGGTGGTTATGGGTAGACCATAGTTAGCAAGTTTGGTGTATAGACTATTTCTTTCTAGAAAGATGAAAATTGAATTCACCTACCCAAAACTTATCTTGACAAATAGAATAGATAACCACCTTATGATTTAGAGATATATCACATTGAATATTTGAAATTTATATTTATAAGGAGGTCATTTTTATAGTGAGTGATATATATAAACCGAAAGTATTACTCCTAACTACTATTCATTTTTTCTCTATTGAGTGATATATATTTAGCGTTTCAAATTTTCTAATGTTTTAAATATATCCGATTTTTTCACTTCTCTTTTTTGAGCTTAGTCCGATATATTCGCGATACCTTTACATGAAGTATTTTTGCCGATCCATATTTTTTACCAGATTTTTTTATCTGACTTTTTTAAATAAAAATGATTAGTTTCTAATTTCATGGTGAGCCGATTTATTGATAATCCCTTACTTGCTAACTATGGTTTGAACTAGTGTTTGCAAAATCAAAACAGAATAGTTAACCGGACTTGGGGCTGGGAGCGGTTAGAACCAGAACCGGACTACCCGGTCAAATAGTTTTTTTTTTTTAAAAAAAAAAAAAGTCAAAGACCCTAAAAAATAAAATAAAAAATGAAAAAATTTAGATTAAGTGTATAATATCTTATTACTTACATTTATCTTACAAAAAAATTTATATAAATTAATATTTGAATACAATAGTCCTGTACATGATCCCAAGCAGATCACATAAATCTTTTTGTTTCTTAGAATGAAATCTGATAATAAGTTTACAACACCTTACCACAACTGTATTTCCCCAATGTAAATATACATTCTAGATATTCAGGTGTTACAGAAACATTACATTAGTCTATGCTTATTACTAAAAACTATAAGCACACATATATGTTTACGTACTTAAGTTTCAAGTTTTACAACACTTCAAGATACTGATGATCACAATTAGAAGTAATGGAAAAGAATTGATCCACCAACATTTACATGTCCATCTAGAATTTCATCTGTAAAATACAACACGTCACAAGGTAGAGATGCCGATACATTTTTTTTTTGTCATGTTAATCATGTCCATCAACATTTACATGTCCATGTTAATCTAGATTTACATGTCCATGATCCACCAACATTTACATGTCCGTCTAGAATTTCTAGAATTTTTTTGTCATGTTAATCAAAACAACATATTTTTATCAAAATAGATAATTTTATTAAAAATATTAATTTATTAAGAAAAATAGCAAAACACTTTCTATATTCATTAAAACTAATAATTTATTAAGAAAAATAAATTTTTTTTTGAAAAATCAATTTCTCAAAAACTTCTAAAATCGAGCAACATTTCAAGCTAGAAACGGCCCTCAAGGTTCAAATAACCCAACAAATCAACACACAAGCATTGTAAAGGCTTCGACCACACTTTCAAATGCACAAAAAATCATTAAAAAATATATATATCAATATTTTTTTATTTAATTGCAAAAATCATGAAAAATTCAGATTTGTAAAATCGAGCAAGAGAAAAATTTATATAAAAAAATTTACGCAATAATAAATAAGCATACCTATTTTATGTGGTAGATGAAACCTCAACGATCAAAATACATAAATCAATTTGATAAAAAACAATAAAAAAATCGATCCAAAATCTGTTTTTTTGCATTGAACACAGGTTCTTTGAGGCCAAAATCAACCCCTAATATTTTGTTTTTTGAACAATTTGAAAGAGGTATATGGTAGATGATTAGGATTAAAAACCCTCAAATTTCAGTATAACGATTGACTATTGAAGATGATATTGATGAAATGGTGGAAATTTCAGAAGGCATGAAAATCAACAATTTCAATCCAACAAATTTCTTGATTTTTCAATCTTGGATTCTAATTTCCTTGTTTTATAGAGAATAAATAGTGTTTAACAGCTATAGAGCATGAAAAAATGCCAACAAATGGCAAGAAAATTTGAATAAAAAAAGCTTGAAAAATTAATATGTAAATTCCTACATCAAATAACAGCTTCAATTGAAAATAACGGGAAAGCCCATTATATTCTCTAATCGGCCCGGTTAGCATAAAAACCGGTTGGTTTGATCAAAACACAGTTGATTCGACTCCTAACTCGGAAGTTTTGGGCTTGAATTTTATTGGATTGTACCCTAGGCTAGAAAAACCTTAAAACCGCCCCCTAACCGAACTCAAAACCCTAACAATTCTGAGCTAGCCGGCCGGTTTTACTAACTCTTTACTGGCTTCTAGCTATTGAGCCGAAATTTCGATAGGTTTCAGTCGTAGTCTGCGGCCAAAAGATCACATTCGCACGGGGCCTCACGCCGCCCATTCTTTCATTCATTCCCCCTCATTCTCGTCCATACACCCCTTCTCCCGCAATTCTCTCTCTTCACTCTCTCTCTATAGCAGTGTTCACAGTACCGGCCGGGCCGAGCATCACCCTGATGGATTCCCTAGAACCAGCTACTAGCTGTGGCTGCTTAGGGTGGTCATGTCAGGAATTAAATTAAAAATAAAAAATATATTTATAATAATTTTTGAAAAAACGTCTAATTGATCATCTCGACATAGAGATCTATGAATATGAATAATAATAATAATTTATTCCCTGAAATAGTGCATCTTGCAATACATATTTTCGTATATTTATAGATCTACTTGATTTTAACCATTTTTTGAGTTTAAAATTTTATAATTAGATATGAATATAGATTTTGAGATAATCCTAGAAATTTTTTTTCACAAAAATTATATCTTATGATACAATTTGAAGGTGTGCTTTAATTGGATTATTTAAAGTTGAAACCTTACAGAAACCACACCCTTTATTTAAAGGTGTGGTGTGTATAAGATGTCAACCTTAAACAATCACTATAAGGTACACCTCCAAATCTCATTAAAAGATGTATTTTAGGTTCCGAAACTCTTATGATCGCCTTAAAATGTATTTTTCACACCTATTATGAAATTGAAAGCTCAATAAATGGTACAGATCTAGCAAATCTATGAACACATACATATCTTGATAATGGACGGTCTAGATAATGTATTACAAGATGTATTATTATTAATACTTAAAATTTATTTATTTATTCATATTAATACATATCGAAGTGGAGATGATCAATTTGAGTATTTTCTAATAACAAAACAACCTTTTCCAATGAGTTTTGAGGTGCACCTTACTTGTGCATTAACAGGTGGACACCTTATATAAACTTTTTTCGTTGTTTAATTATATTTGAAACATACTTCTCATATATTTTGAGAATTGTTTAGATTCTTTAATAGCTAGGACCTGTCGTGAACTCGTGACCCAGCCATGACAGGTTCTATTCGCAAGTCATGTCTCTAACATTGCTTTGCAGTAATAAATGAGTAAAAGCCTGATCTTATCTCGTTTTCATTCATCCTATCCTAAAAGTCCGCCCTCGCACCAAGGGAGAGGGAGTTTTTGCCCCTAATGTTAGAGAGAGCGGGATTTTGGGTATTTATCCTCCCAATTTGCTACTGGGAATGGGCCGGGCCGGGCCGCCCCTAAAAAACGTAGGTTTTGGACTAGAAATTTTGGCCAAGGCCTAGGCTACGCCAGTGTCGACCTAGCTCAGCCTTTTTTTTTTTCTCCTAAATCCATTTATTTATTTTTTGGCCTCAGGCCCAGCGGCCTTATAAGGACAAGGGCTGAGCTATAGCCATGGCCCAGCGCTGTTGCCACCGTCCTGTCAGAAAGATATTAGGATTTTGCCCCTCCTTATAGAAAGAGAAGATCCCCCCCTCCCCCAACGAGAGAGGGTTTTTGCCCCAAATCTCAGAGAGAAGATAAAAAAAGGGAGGAAGAGAGTTCGATTTTGCCCTCATATAGAGAGGGGTAACTGGATATAGGCTCAAAAGCGGTTCAACTGGCCTAGTTGGTAAATCGGCTTATTCAACCGTTTTAACTTGTCAAGTATGCTACGGTTAAAAGAGTGTTAACAAATTATAAAAAAATATAAAAAATATATTTTAAAAACTATTAAACAAAACATATCGAAATGAAATTGAAAACTAATAAAAAATAAAAATAAAAATTAAATAACTGAAATGTACATAAGTGTATTTTTGAAATTTTATAAAATAAGATAAAAAGTATAAAAATAAGTATTAAAAAATTACATTACAAACAAAATCCATTATTTTTGAGATTTATGTTTTATTTTTTAAAAATATCCCGTCAGTTACCAAAACCAGCCAAAATCGAAAACCGCCGTTCCCATCTAACCGAGCGGGTTAGATCGCCTGGTTCTTTTTTTCCAACCGCAGATTTTTGCCATCCAGAGAGAGATTGGTTCCCGTAAATTAGATAAGAGAAACCTAGAGAAAGAGAGATTTATGTGGGCTTATACTACTTTTATCCCCTAGGTTCTATAAACATTGAGCCAAATTCTTCAAATTACAGAATTTAATGGGGGTAAATCGCTATGCAATAGTAATGGCTCAGCACAAACAGAGACCTCTTTCAAATTTTTAAAAATCGTTTTATCAGCAGTCAACGTTTGCGTTGGAACCTCAGAATCAAGCCCCTTCCTATTCATATTTTGTATTCTCTCTCTCTTGCTCTCTCTATAAATATATTACTATTTTCTGTTCCCTCTCTCTCTCTCTTCAATCTCGCCATTTTTTTACCCAAAAAACTCGTAGAAGAAGCTTTCTTTTCCCGTGTTTTGAATCTTTCATAGATCGTATGGTTCCTCATGCCCCCCTATACACCCCACAACAATGGATTCTCTCTCCCCATTTCTTCAATCCCCTTTCTCTGTGGGTGCCTCCTCTCTTTCTCTCCTCCCCACCTCTCTCTCTCTAACTTCCAGGAAACTCTCCTCCACCAAGACCATATTAATAGCCTCTGGTGTATCAGTCCTACTGCTCATCTTCTCTCTGTAATGGCTTGTTTTGCTTGTTTTAGAGTGAGAAACAAAGGGAAGAAGAACAGGGGAGGAGAGAGAGTGGCCCCAAAGGAAGAAGAGGAGATTGCAGGGGAGGTGGTGAGGAGGTTTAGTTGGAGAGAGGTGGAGGAGATGACCAAGAATTTCAGTTGTGTTATTGGAGAAGGTGGGTTCAGCACTGTGTATTTGGGGTTTCTGTGCAGTGATTCTTTGGATCATGGAGCGGTGAAGGTGCACAGAAACAGTGAGAGAATGAATAGGGTGTTTAGGCAGGAGTTGGAGGTTTTAATGGATGTTCGCCATGAAAACATTGTGAAGTTTCTGGGCTACTGCGATGAGTGCGATGAGAAAGGTGAGGGTACTCTCTGTCACTTGGGATCTGTTTTTTATTCTCTTTTCAATGCCTCTCTTTCTCTCTCTAAAAACACACTATATCTCTTCCCTTGTAGGGTTCTAAAACACACCATTGAAAACACATCTTTTCGATGCCTCTCGTGAACTTTTAACTTACAAAACTGGAAATCCCAAACATCGTGATTCCACATGAGATCGTGTGCGTCGCTAAAAAGTAAAGTGGATGAATGTAATTATAAATCGAGTGTAAAAAATAAAATAAATATAAACAAATACATCATAATAACACACGATTAATGTGGTTCACCCTGTAGGACTATATCCAATGCCTCAAGTTTTGGGTTACAAGAGATAATATCTATCGATATTGGTAAAAAGGCATCACCGTTCTTCCCTTCTAAATCCGCTCTCAGACCAAACAACTCCGTCAATCAACGTCCTCTCTCCCATCACGATATCGCTACTGGAAATATAACCTTAAAAGCAATCGAGAGACTTTTTCTCTCAAGAAATGAAAGTTAACCGGACAAAACTCCAAACCCACCGTTAATCAATATGTTTTTTTCACCGCAATACCGTTATCGGAAAGATAACCTTAAGAACAACCGAGAGGCTTTATCTATCAAAAAAAGAAAAAATTAATCAAACCAAAACTCATGGAAATACCTCATATCTCTCTAAAGTCATGCTTCCAACCGAGAGGATTTATCTATCAAAAAAGGTAAAAATTAACCAAATCAAAACTCATGGGAATACCTCCTCTCTCTCTAAGGTCATGCTTCCCTCTCTTGGAGACCCGGCCATGCCTCTCTCGAAAGCTATGCTTCCTTCTCTTGGAGACCCGGCCATACCTCTCTCTCTTTGAGACTTATCTCCATATTGGATCTTCATATGTATATTATGGCATCTTTCACTCACTTATAAAAATACATCACTTTTTTATTTATCATAATACCCTAATCTTTTAAAAAAATGTAGATAAGTGATTTAGCTATCACGAAATCCAACATCCCTCATCGAAATTCGCCTTCTCTATCACACATACAAGTAAATTTCCTCATTTTAGGTCAATCCTATAATCCAGTGTTAGAATGCTCCACTGGGCCATGGGGTTCAACCTCCGGCCAAGCCAAGTAACTTGAACTCACCCGAGTTACTCGGCTTTGAGTCGAGTCAGGTCTGGCCAAGCAAAAAAGTGTAAAAAAATTAAATAAATAAATCAAAAAAAAAAAAAGGTTTAAAATAAAATTAAACAGAAAACATGTAAATGAGGTTAAAAAAACGGAAAAAAAATGAATTTTGAAAAATCAATATGTCGCTGGGCATTTTAAAAGAAATCCAAAAAAAAGCAACAATACAAAATAAGTATTCATAGGGAAAACACTTCTATTTGATATTTGTCTAAATGATAGAAAATATTTTATAAATACGTTCTTATTTTTTGGATTTTTATAAAGTTTTTAATTTTTGTCTAAGATCCCCATCCAACTCAAAGATGCTTGGTATTGGGCGTCTTAAACGAGTCCGAATCAGCTCGACGGTGTAAAACACTAATCACTCCTCTTTTAAACTACAAACCCTCATATGCTAATATCTCGCACTCTTTTTTTGCTCTCTCTCTAACCACACGCGCCATGCTGTTTCTCTCTCTTCTACACGTGCAGATGAAGGAGCCCTGATCTTTGAATACGTGCCCAATGGATCCCTTCACGACCACCTCCACACCCTCTCCACGCCCCTCCCTTGGCAATCTCGCACGAGTATAGCCCTCAACCTTGCACGTGCCATCGAGTTTATACACGACCGGTGTACCAAGCACATAGTCCATTGCGACGTAAAGCCCTCTAACGTTCTCCTCGACCAAAACCTAAACCCCAAGCTTTGCGACTTTGGGTCTGCACGTGTGGGGTTTTCCTCCACCGTTCTAAACACGTGCGAGGGGAGGCGGGCCCCCGTTGTGGGGTCACCTGGTTATGTGGACCCCCACTATTTGAGAACAGGGATTATATCTAAGAAGAACGATGTGTATAGTTTTGGGGTGTTATTATTGGAATTAATTACTGGGATTGAGGCTTTTTGTTCGGAAAAGGGCAGGCTTTTGGCGAAAATTTCGGTGGATAACCTCGAGGATGTGAAGATTGTGGATGAGCGGTTGAAAGGAAATTTTGAGAAGGAAGAGTTTAGGGTTTTGGGGTCCATTTGTGAGGCCTGTTTTAGGGAACAGCCAAGTTTGAGGCCTTCTATGAGTGAGATTGTCAAGATTATGGAAGATAACGTTTCTTCTTCTTTTAATTTGGAATGTAAGATAGAAAAGGCGTAAAATTGTGGGTTTTTCTGATTTTTTATTTTTGTTTTTAAAAAAGATGGGGTGATTTTTGGTTGGGTGCCTGGGCTGGGCGCCCGGCCTGGTCCTAAGTAGGGCATGGGCCACAGTTTGTGGCCTGAGGGGCAGGATAGGGCCGCTGCCGGCCCAATTCGACCACCAGCCCAGCTTGGTCCCTTTTTTTTTTTTTTTTTTTTTTCCAACAGGCCCGGCTCAGGTCTGGTCCGTTGCCACCCCATTAGGTGGTGGCATAGATTGTAGAGGGGAAAAGGTGTAAATTGGTGGTGGTTATACTAAAAAACATCTGGTGGTGGTCATGTGTTCTTTCCAATATATGTTTCTTTTCTTGTAAAGAAAATGTGTAGACTAGCATATGGCATATAACAAGGAATATACTTTATGCAGAGGTGCCCTCCCTCTCCCTCTCCCTCTCTTTTTTCCGATTTACTTTTTGGGTCTTTCTCTTTTAAGTTTTTTTTTTTTTTTTTTTTTTTTTTGTTCTTTTTTGTTTTTAAATTAGGTGAATTGGAGCAAGCAATAATTCTTTTATTTCCTTTAGGAGGCTTTGATTTGAAAAATTAGTTTAGAGTGGATGTGTGGCGAGACAAGAGAGGATAGAAATCAAAATGAGAATGAGTGCAATTGGAGATAGGATGAGGTTGTTGAGATTGATGACAGGTAAAACAAGACGATCGAATTCGAAATGAATATATCAACTCAAATGTAACTTCAATAGACAATAAGATCAGAGAAGTAAACTTAGATAAACTATTTATAGTAATATAGATCTCATACAATATTTGTTAGGAGAAATGAGTTTATTCAAATGGAAGGCTAAAAAAAATCAGAATAGGTTCAAAAGAACATGGTAGAAAATAGTGAGAAAAGATATGATGATTTATGAGTATTTATCACTCTTAATATAATAGAATAGTGGATCGAAATCAACAATTATAGTTAAAACTAACTAACTAATAATAATAATAATAATAAAAAGATTTCTACTATGATAATAATAACATTTATTATTAATTTCTACCTTGAAATGGTGTAAGGTCCCTTGTACGGAAAGAGATGAGGGTTAACCTGTAGGCAAGGCAACGTGGTTGGGGATGCATACACTTTGGAAATAAGAAATGATGGCCATTGAAAATGTGCCGGTCTTCCTCATCTGCTGTGTTGAAAGTGAGAATGATGATTGATGAGGGTGCCCACCTTCCAGAGAGTGAGAGAGACGGACGCTCAGATATTAATGGGAAGAATGTGTGGGAGAGATTAATGTTTTCTCCACCGCTCCACTGAGCGTGATGTTAGTCTGCCCCTCTCTCTATCTCACCCTTGCCCGCTCACAAAGATTATTATCAATGTTGTTATATTCGCTTTTGAAATGAAGAAAATGAAATAATTCGGTGTTTCAGCCGATTTGTGAGGGAAACTTTGAATTTTTTTTTAATAAATAAATATTTATATAAATTATATAAATAATGAAAAAATACAAAAAATTTTAAAAAACAAAATAAAAAATACTTTAATATAGCTATTTCTTTGCTGGCCGAAGCAAATCCGAATCTGACTAAAGTAACCCGAATCTGACCGAAGCAACAATGATAGATTTCTTTTTGCTTCGATTTATGCTTAAAATCAGAAGTCTTTGGCCCTAGCAAAGCGAATTTGATAACACTGATTATTATATGCTCCACTGGAAACATATTGTAATTTTACTTTCTTAGCCAGTAGGCCGGTTTGAGAGGGTTTTTTCGGTCTAAAATTTTGGAACTACCTAAGAATCACTAGATAATTATTATTTTTTGAAAAAAAATTTATATAAGGTTGATACTTTATATTGTAGAATTAACGTGCACATCAAAAATCCATTAAAAAAGGTTGTCTTGATGTTGGAAAACCATCTAATTGATTAGATGTTGAGATGTATGGATAAAAAAAAAAACTTTCAAGTATTAAAAATAATACATCTTTCAACATATTATCTGGACCGTTCATTGACAAGACTTTCATGTGTTTATAAATCTGCTTGATTTGAACCATTTTTGGACTTTAAAACTCTATAATTAGATATAAAAATAGCATCGAGCCATTCTAAAAATTCTCCATACCAAAATTGCATCTTTCGACAAAGTTTTAGAGGTGCACCTTACTCTGATTGTTCAATATTGCAATCTTATCCAAACCACATCCTTATTTTCAATTAAAAAGAAAGGATGTAGATTCAGTTCTCTAACATTCAGATGTCACCATGGACTCTCTATTCGATCGTGAGACACGGTTTTCTTTCTTTTTAATGGCATGGTGTCTAATTTGAAAATAAATAAATAAAAAATATTGAGACTAGTCTACACAATAAAAATGTTACATCCCCAAATTTGGGGTCCTAAAAGTACTGATCGTTTGGGCTTGATTCGAGGGAGTAAACACACAATACGCTGCCACAGAAGCAAGTAACCTTTCGGCATTAGTGCAAGGAATAAGTTTACATAGGCTCAAAAAAATCAAATTAGCGTGTAGCTCTAAAATTTCACTAGAAGAGGTTGTTTGACGGTCAAATATTTTCAAATTGATCATCTTGACATCAAGATGCATGGATATGAGAAAAATCTGGATTTCAAGTTTTGGAATCGTGTATGTTGTAATGCATTTTTTTATCATCAATTTTCAAGACTTTTTAAGTTGTCATAGATCTGTGCGATTTACACTATTTTTTAAGCTTTAAATTTTATAATTAAAGATGAAACTATATTCTAAGGCTATCACAAAGATTTTTAGTATTGAAACCACATTTCTCAATACTATTTGAGGGTGCGCTCTACTTGGATTGTTTAGAGTAGTGTTCGCAAAATCGAAATCAGATATGGGTCTAGAATTGGTTTAACCGGCCTAACTAATAAACCGGTCGATTCAACCACTCTAATCGAGCATGTCCCAGCAGTGAAAATATTATTAAAAAAATAAAAAAGATAAAAAAAGAAACTTCTAAAATATGAAAAAGCATATAAAGAGTGATTAAAACAAAACACTTTCAGTTGAAAATTAATGAAAAAATAGGTTTTAACGAATTGATTTGTGTCTAGAGGCATTTTAAAAATTTTCTGGAAAAGATGAAAAAATATAAAAGTGAGTATTAATGATTAAAACAAAATTTAATCTTTAATATAATGTAAATAATATTAAAAAGTATATTACAAATCAAATTTCTTATTTTTTACAATATATATATATATATATATATATATATATATATATCTATATATTGAATTTTTTTAAAAAACACCAATTGATCACCAAAACCGAAACCGGTCATTGACAAGTTCCAATCTAATCGTTCAGTTAGGGATTAGATCGGCCGGTTTTGTGAACACTAGTTTAGAGCCTCAGCTCTGTACAAAACTGCACCCTTATTATAATTCGGGCAAGCTTTCTATGCTCCCCCTATGGTATAGAAGTTCTATCCTCCCCCTACCATCCAGCCGTCCAATTTTGATCAAGAGAGCCACTCACCATTTGAACTTAGATCCGACGTCTTAAATTATTTTATTTTTAGTTTTTTTTTATACAAATTGTATGAATATGAAATTTGGTACGTGCTATCTTTTCATTGGGGCGCACCTATAAAAATTATTAAAAATAAATTTTCAAAAAAATATAATGACCAAAATAGCCCTTGAAATTTTTAGGGGTATTTTGGTCATTTATTTTATTGAAAATATTGTTTTTATATTTTTCGCTAGTACGAGTTTAATAGAGGAATGGACGTCCAAAATTTGGTGTCAAAATAGTTTATAGAAAAAAAATTTAAATAAAATAGTGTAGAGACGTGACATTGTGATTGGGGCAATCTTAGCACTCCATTCAGAATGGACGGTTGGATAAGGAGGAGGATAGAACTTCTATGCTGTAGGGGAAGCATAGAAACCTTAACCAAAAAAAAAAACAATTGGCTCATGAATAGATGTACACTATGATACAATTTCAAATGGATAGATGTAACAAGGGAGGCTTATATATAGAGAAGAGTTACCTGAAGAGATAATAAAAGCGACGCAAATAACATAGGCTAATCAGGCTTTAAGAGATAGGAGAAACTTGTTGAAGCCATTCTAAGGTTAGGATATTGGGATCAATGTTCGCAAAATCAAACCAGAATGGTTAACTAGATATGGGGCCGGGAGCGGTTAGAACCAGAACCAGATTAATCTGGGCGGTTAACCGAACTAACCGGTCAAGAAATATTTTTTTTTTTTTTTAAAAAAAAATGGGTCAAAACCCCCCAAAAATAAAAACATTAGAAAAACTTAGATTAAGTATATACTATCATATTACATACATTTATCTTACAGAAAAATTTGAAACAACTTTTTATATAAATTAATATTTGAATACTATAGAGATATGTAAAATAATTTATAATTTGACATTAATTCAATTGATGAGGTTACAAAGTCGAACCTATTGCATCATTCATAGTTTGTTATTGTGTTCTCAACGTCAATATAGTTTTATAAACCATGTTATTTACCGTAGTGTACCAATATTTTCTATCATAAATAAAATCTTATAATTTGTAGGATACAATATATACTCTTCCTTCCTGTATCATACAGTAAGTAGATGGAGATGTGTTAGACTAGAGGATACACTTAATAAAAATAACTACATCATGCACTTAAT